AGCCGGTCAGCTGTGATCATCCGGGAAACTGCACCATGTCACAGATGTCACAACGCTCCTTCGGGGGTGTTGGGTCTTGAGGTCAGGCTGAGCTCAGAGTACCTCTATAGACTCTAAACCATTCGCATGGACTTGTGCAAACAGGTACGAGTAGTCAAGCCTAGACGGTCAGCCATTCAGGACTGCAGAGTGCCAGTAGAGCATGTGATTCAAGGAGACTACTACGAACGGTTTTCGCCAGAGAAGCAGAGGCAAAGAGTGCTTCGACAAATCCCTGCGCTGTGCAGGGGCTTCGCCATGGATACAACACATCAATCAGGTGCTTTCAACACATTGCCTCTGCAGACCGACGGTGACAAGAGGGGAATGCCATGGACCCCACGCATTCTGCGATGTGTTCATGGCAATGCCTGCGGCTCGGGCAGGACTGCGACTGACGCTGTCCCGCTCAATCGGCGCGGGGCTGAGGACTTTCTGCTGGACGCACATTCCGGTTACGACATGCCGGTGGAGCCGGCCTGTGACGGGGTCGCGAAGGCGGCGAGGGAGCCCCCAGAGAGGCTCGTGCCGACTCTGTCGAGGACCGGGGCATTGGGGCCACCTCCAGGGTGGCTCGGGAGGGATCGGCCGAAGATCTCGGCGTGGTTGGTGCCTGTGCCGTGGGTGTCGCTCCATCCGTTGCCCGCCTCGGCATGACCTCCGGCTGGCCTGGGAGATGGTCCTGCATCTCAGCAGCTGCGATGGGTGGCAGAGATGACAGGTTGTTCCTGAATACTCTGCTGACGGCCGAGAGGGAACGTCGCACGCCGTCTACCAAGCCACGAGACATCGACCTCACGCTCCCGGTGCTCTTCCGACCACGCTTTGAAGTCGAGGAAGGCGACGACGGCGGCGCCGGGTATACTGGATCACTGAGAAGTGGTGCCGCACAAGGAGCTGCCTGTGACGATCGTGCAGGGGGTGCAGAACGAACGATCTGGGCATGAGCCTCAGATTGGCTCTGTGCCAAACTAGGTATTTCTCTTGGAAGGGGCACAGAGCCCTCTTGCTGCGATACGTCCGAATTTCGTGGTGCTGAATAGTGCATAACCTCCACGGAACCCAGTGGTGAGTTCATCGGTGAGTTCATCAGCTCATATTCCAGCTGAGGACTCTGACCGTCATGTCCAATACCTTGGTGTCGATGTCAACAGCCCCCAAATTTATTTAGAAGTAACTAATTCACAAGTAGGGCTCTATACTGAACAAAACAAGGGGAATTCAAAGAGCTATCTCCCAAATCGGAACCCAGATTCGGACAGAGTCCTCCGAGGAAGAGGCCGATCTGTCGAGAGCCCGTTCGGGCTCCAAGTTCGGCGCGGCGGCCGCCGGGGAGGAGACGTCCGCTTGCGAGGACGCTCGTGGGCGCGGGACTGTCCTCCAGGCTTACTTTTGGTTAGTAGGGAATGGAAGAATGGTAGTATTAGTAATAGTAGTTATATAATTGTATCCCATTCCTCCATTCCCTACTTGGGGACCACCATGGGCGGGGAAGGGCGTATGGCAGGGATACCCGTACCCCTTGTGTCTCTTGGCGGCTCAAGTTGGGCGAGGGTCGGTTCTGAGGGTTGTGTGGCATCGTTTTGGCAGCATGCAAAGCAACATGGGAGCAAAAGTTAAGAATGCCAACGTAAAGAAAAGACTAGGTGCAGGGCTTATTTCTGCAGCGTCGCATCGTTTCTGTCAGGTGCTTAGTTTTTACACCCAAAGATCAAAATGTGTTTGTGATGCGGTGTCCGCATCTTGAGCTTAATTGTTTGAGTAGAGGCTGCAACACCATGAAGACCATGCAATGGTCCAGCGTGTGTGTCTGGGAAAAACTCTCTGGGTGGATTTGCGGATGTGATGTCCTGCGGGTGTGGCAACAAAACAGAAAGCCCCCCAATCTGCACGATGCCCTACTCCGGTTAGACCATTTGGCCGTAGTCATGGGGAGGGCACTCTGTGAGATATAACCGTGTTGCTTGAAATCAGCAGGGGTTGCAATGACCACATTAGCCCATCGTTCTGGCTGATGTCACTCTTTTCGGGCTCGTTGTGAGTTGGCTTCAACACCTTATATGCTTCTAACACGAATTGCAAACCCGAGCTGTCTGCGGCATGTTGTTTCTCAAGCCTCCCGATGCTTGGTTGCACAGGGACAAACGACCATTAAGTTTGAACCATAATAGCAGATCAGCTGCATTGTCTGCATTGCTCTCATGCATCCAGAAAGAAACGGCAATGCATAGAAGACTATTGAGTCACTCAAGAAAGCCGCAATGGCAAACACCATCCATATAAAAAATACATGATTTGCACATTGCAACATATGTGGTATCATGCACGTGCAATGCTGTCAGGGCCAGTGGTCTTCACCACAGAGACCAAGCGCAGACCAAGCGCAGGCCAAGTGTCGACCAAGCGCAGACCAATGTTTCACCGGGCAAAATTGGGCGCAGACCAAGCGCAGACCAAGCGCAGACCAAGCGCAAGCCAATTTTTTTAGCAATGGAATTCAGTACAATGGAGAGCAAATGCAGACCGACTTGAACATCACCATGAACAAGAGGAATGCTAGTGCAAGGAAATGCATAGCATGTGCAGCATACAGTATCATGCCAAAGTGCTTAAAAAGCTAGATTCCTGTGAAGAGGCATGAATGCAACAGCTTTGGCGAGTCGCAACTCTCCATAAGAGCAAGGCACGACATGCAAGACGTTACAAAACCTAAAATAAATGCACATATTTCAAAACTTTGTATGGGCATAATAAACAAAGGTGTTTGGATTCTACACCGAGTGCATGCATTTCTAGACCCACAGCAGACCAAGCGCAGACCAAGCGCAGACCAAGCGCAGACCAAGCGCAGACCAATGTTTCAGTGGGCAAAGCCGAGCGCAGACCAAGCGCAGACCAAGCGCAAAGCAAGCGCAAACCAATCTTCACATGTTGTCGTTGAACTTTATAGGAAGCAAACCACAAGAAATTATCCATGTGGTTTGTTGAAAGGAGGAAGTAATGTCAATGAATTAATTGCGAAGTTGTTCTATCAATGGCATACTGTGCTTGCAGCCTGCTTTTGCTTTGTTGCATAAAAAACACGATCATGAAGCCGGAAACATAGCACACTAGTTGGCTTTGCTTATCTGAAGTAGAAGTAATGGTGAACTGCTGAGTCACTGATAAAGTCATGCCAGAGCAGCACAAATGCAAACACTATGCAAACAAAGAGTGTCTGACTTGCAGATTTCAAACATACCTAATATCATTTAAAATGCTCTCACGGCCTGTGGTATACACCAGCGCGGACCAAGCGCGGACCAAGCGCAGACCAAGCGCAGACCAAGCGCAGATCAAGTGCAGACCAATGATTCAGTGGGCGCAGACCAGGCGCAGACCAGGCGCAGACCAAGCGCAGACCAAGCGCAGACCAAGCGCAGACCAAGTGCAGAGCAATGGAATTCAGTACAATGGAGAGCAAATGCAGACCGACTTGAACATGATCATAAACAAGGGAAGTGCAAGTGCAAGGAAATGCATAGCATCTGCCACATACAGTATCATGCCAAAGTGCTTAAAAAGCTAAATTCCTGTGAGGATGTATGAGTGCAAAAGCTTTGGCGAGTTTTTACTCTCCATAACAGCAAGGCACAACATGTAACAAGTTACCGAATGGAAAGGATCTACATCTATTTCAAAACTTGAAAGAGACATAATAGTCAAAAGTGTTTGGATAATGCCACTGCGAGCGCATGCATTTCTAAACACGGCGCAGACCAAGCGCAGACCAAGCGCGGACCAAGCGCATACCAATATTTCAGTGGGCAAAGCCAGGCGCAGATCAAGCGCAGACCAAGCGCATTTCAAGCGCAAACCAATTTTTTTGGTGGAGCCTAAGAAACCTCTGCAACAAATATTACACTCTGGAGCATGTCTTTTGCATCTTCGAGCCCCACGACATGCAACTGCATGTTTGTATGTCCGGCGACAAAGAACACCGAAACCTTATCCATGTTTTTGTCTCGGAACATTGGTGAACCATGCGGTTTCAAGTGTGCATTTGGCATATTTGCTAGATGATGAGCTTAGAACGTAGGGTTCAAAATCAGACGAATGGAGTTTAGGCAAGAATAAATTCTGTGAAAGGTCATGCAACAAACTCTCCGGTCGAACATTATTTGTTCGAGTGCATGTTGGAGAAGGCAGAACCTGGAAAGGATACACACCACATCACAAGGTCTACTTTGTCTTCTCTGTGGCTATTTCCTGGGCAGCAGTGTACTTCTGCCGTTTGTTGCAAACAAGTTTCTGGTCTTAGACCTGTCTATCTGCGTTGTGTTACTTATTTTTTTGGCAAAGGCTAGCTCCACCAAGTTTCAAACCTGCATCACCATCGAGCCCTGCATCCGCCTAGTAATCAACTTAATACAACTTAGAGTCTATGTAGCCATTAATTATCAAGACCGTCGGGAACGACGAATCCCTGCGTCTCAGCCAATCTTGACTCTCTTTGTCCGTTGTCAAAGTCCGGCACTGCAGGAGGTCCTGGAGAAAGAAGCTTTTCAATGGAATGCCATATTTCCAGGATGATTTGTGTACTTGGTTACACCAGGGGCCACACAGGACGTGGCTTTCAAACTAGTGTTGGCACTTGTGCAAGACTTGCCTTTATGTTTTCTGAATTCTTCTTAGACACTTTAATAGTCATAGGGTTCTTCTTGTCGGACTCCTCATTACAACAAGTGCACCTCAGTGAACATAGACAGACTTTGTTCATTGTCAACACTAGAAAAGATTCTAGCACCACCGCTTCCTGTTGCAACCCTGGGAATTGCCCGAAAGTCTAAAGGGAATCCAAGCTGATAAACGACGTGATGAGAATGCTTTTTTCATGCCCTGCGACTGTTTGCGGAGATACTGCACAAAGAAAGCCGGCAAAGAATCGTCAACGAGGACTCCTCCGGGTTTCAGAATCAGAATCATGGCATTCCACGCGGGTCTTGTCCTTCTGCGTCCAAGCGGGTGTCGTCCTCCTCAGTCTGATCTCCGTGCAAGTCGTCTTCGATGTCACTGAAATCCAGAAGGACCTGCGAGTCGAAGTCCGGTGTGTGGTACTGCCTGCCAACGGGTGGCCCACGTGCTTTGTCCTGCGCCTCGCTGAGTTTCCTGATGCGTGCAAAAAAGACCATCGTTGTCCAGAATGTAGCAGCACAGCAACTTGCCTCGAAGGCGTTGCCTGCTAGATCTGCGAGTAGGCCCTGCGGCACCGTCGAGAGCAAAGGATCGTCGCTTTTGAACCATCGCCCTTGCAGTCGCATGGACTCCACCGGCAGCATGGGCCTGCACTCCGAGGTCAAGTACCGCTCGCCCTTCGGAGTGATGCACGGGGAGTGGTCCGTGGCGTGCGCAAACTTGTCCTGCGAGATGTCCACGACCTTCAGATTGGCCGCCGTGGTTGGGAAATTGCGTATTCCGAGCTTGAACAAAGTCCTGCGTTTACGGGCTGTCATACACTTCAGGTAGGGCCTTTGACGAGCTGCACGGCGGAAGCTCTTCAGCCAGTCCTTTGTCACGATCCTTTCCCGTGCCAACATCCGGGTGCCAGATGAACATGTGCTCACCTGGCTGGCACTTCCTGCACGACTGGACAAATAAGAACCAACGGAAAGACGGCGTTGCGGTACTGCGTGGTCCTCGTGCTGTGTGTCCTGGGACTCTTGGGCTTCCTGTAGTGCACGACGTTGAGCACGACGATTGGCCCGTCGAGTGCGCATGATCTCCAGCTTTCGTTGGGCCTCGTGGTTGAACGTCATCAGGCTTGTGGACCTGCAGAAACAAAAGCAAAAGAATACCAGAAACCACATGCTACCAGTGCAGACTCAGTGTTCACTGGATCAGCCTTGCGACACTTACGTTTGAAGAGAGTCCTGGATGGTGGTGAAAACATCACATGGGCCCCAAAACCCACAAGTGCAATGTCGACATCGAACCCTGCATGTATACCGATTATTTGCTGATCACAACGAACGGCGGCACTACTTGTTGACGAGTTGCAGGGTTTATAACAAGTACTGAAGAAAGAACACGTCTACGAAACATGTCGTTTCAAGTCGAAGTCTACAATGATAAAATCCATACAGAAACTGCTATGTACTATGCCAAAGCTTTTTTTTGCTTGAGTTAAAGACACGAATAACATCAGGGTTGAAACTAAGTAACTAAGCCGTTGCAGTGCGACTCTGGCCTTGGCAGGACCAAATAGTCCGAGACCGGCATTACCAGCAAACCAAGCAGGGTATTCATGATGCTGTTGAGGAGTTTGTGAACGGCGGGTTCTGGGAGGAGTCCCTCGAAACACTTGCGAGGAATGGCTGTCATCCACAGCCGCTTCCGGCTCTGCGGAACTCCAAACATACGTGGGTCCAACTCCCAGACGTGTAGAAGTCGATTCGTCTCCTTGTCCAGCAGGTGTCCCACGTGGTCCAGGTTATTGTTTGCTCCGCGCTCATGTGTCCGGGTCAGTCCAACGACATTCTCGAACATGCAGACTTTCGGCGCTGCCGCTCCTTGAGTCTTGAGGTACTGCACGATGTTGTGCAAAACCGATCCGGTACGGAGTCGTCCTGTCGCCACGCACGATCTATTGTCCGACGAGGAGGCCGATGTGTTGAGCACGGAGCAGTCTTGACAAGGGAAGCCCGCCGTAATTGCGGTGCACAGCGGCATTTGGATCTGTGTGTAGTACTTCGTGTCGAAGACAGTGTCGTGTTGCATGTCCGCGGCATCCTTGAACATGTGCTGGATCTCCGGGTGTGCCTGCAGGAGGAAGTTCCTTTTGGCAGCGTCCTTTTCGCAAGCGAACTTGTGTTGGAAGTACATGCCGTCCAGCTCCCAATTGTAACGAGCCCAGTCCCAGAACTGCTTCATGACCGTCGCTCCAATGTCCATTCCACTGCAGATGGAGCCGTATCGTCCGTCGAGTGTTTTGCCCTCAAGGAGCATCTCCTTCAGGTAGACCACGTCCTCCGGAAGCAGTCTCCTGGACCACAGCCTGAACAAGTCCTTCGTTCGAGTTGCAGAAACAGCAAGTTTGCGATCATTCTCCAGAAACTCGTGAACAGGCGTGTGTACTTCGACTTTCTGAACTTGTACGTCCCTGGCCAAAGGTGTCCGCTGAGGTCTGTCCGGCGTTGGTAAATCGTCCGGCCGGAACTGCAAGGCTCTTCGGAGGGCCATGGTGTGTAACTTATGTGTACAACGTCCTCAGTGTCAGAGGTCTAAGTCTACTAGGACCCACGAGGTGGAAGCATTCTGATCTGCTGTCCTCTTCAAATATGTGGACGTCCATGCCTATGCTGAACGACAGTTTGCTGTATAGAACTCTGACGAACGTCTACTGACATGATCCTGTGGCTCTCTTGAAAGCACACCAATTGCAGAACACAATGTCCGTCAGGAGGCAACTGTGAAGCTCGCCGAAAGGAATTTCAACATGCTCTACACTGCCCTTGGCCCTGTGCATTTCATTTTAGCTTCCTAAACCTATAGAACATGATCATCCGTGTGCACAGCAAGAGAACTGGACCTATGAAATCACGGTTTACCATGCCACGCACGGCTCCTTCGCAGCAGCGTGTGTGAGCCCACTGCGATGTAGAAGCACTGGCCGCCTGCAATGCAGAACACAAAGAACGCTGTCCAACTTCCAGTTAGAATCTGACTGTGCTCACTGTCTGCTCACCGATCAAGACAAGATTACAATCTCTTAGAGGTTCCACGGATATCCAAATCCTTTCAACTTTGGACAAAAAAACGAAGGCAAGACAATGGCAGACCTTAATGGAATTAAACATGGCTCAGCAAACGCCACTAAAACAATAGCTTACTTAACGTTGGATTGGAACAGAAATTGCAGCTGACCGATGGGATATGCAATGCAGAAAGCACACCGTGTCTGCAGCGCAATTTTGTCCTGGAGCCAATCATCGACTGCGAGAGCTTGTCAGCTTCTGGAGGGAGTCGTTGTCCATTCTGCTTTGTCGTTGCCTTGCTAGATTTGTGTAACATGTACAAACGACCCACTGTGTCCAAGATCTACGAGTTGTCCGACTGTCCGGCGGGACTGCCCAACTCTAAAGGAACGAATTAACTGCTTGGTACCTCGGGTTCCTGGAGTGTCTCGATTGTCTTGGAAATTGGCAACTTCAAGTCTCTGTACAAAGTCACCGCGGTGCACCTGTCCTTTTCGAGCTGAAAAGTCCTACTGAAAACGGCTCCGGCGATGAGGTCCTCTTTGAGGTGCATGTCCGATGTCCTGCCGGTCCATTGGAGGCGGAAACGAGTCAACGCTTCCTCCAAGCTCTTCGTGTTCTGAACGAGAAGCTTCGGGTCCGGAACGAACAATGATCGATGAGTCCGAGCGTAACAGTCCCACGTGACCACGCCGAGTGCCCACATGTCCGCCTTGGTGCTGACGTCGACCTTGCAGACTAGGAAAACTGTGACTGGGAAGCTTCTTCGAAAGGGATGCTCAAGGGAAAACAAGGAGAAGTTAACTGTAAGCTAAACGTAAACTGTTTCACTTAGGTTGTTGTCTTTGTCATTAACCACTTCAACAGACTAGTCTAGCTGTGGGTTCAATCTTCTGGTCGACAAGAGTAAAAGAAGCATGATGTATCAACCCTGTTAGTTAGTAGTTCCGTGCTGCATAGCGAGAAAGAACTATACTGCCATTGCTAAGTGGGCTGCACTGATGACTCTTCTCACACCCACTTTATGTGCTGCTAGCAGTAGTCTTTTGACTGCATCATGTGCTCAGTCTTTTCTGTCTCCCCAGATATCCCGGCCTTCTTGTCACCAGCAAAGAGGCACTCGATGGGTCTGTAGTACGCTGCATAAACCTCGTCAGCTCTTACGCGTGTTTGTCCGTCTACGGGTAGTGCACGACAATGTCCGAAGTCCGACAATGCAACACGGTGCGCGGGTAAGAATACCAGGAAATTGTTCGTCTTGACGTCCAAATGCACGATGTTCTTGCTGTGCACATAGCCCAGTCCGGCCAGTGTTTGCCGAAAATATGTGGTGACATGTGCTCGTCGTGTTGTCCATGGCACGGAGTCCTCAGTGTCCTCTGCGTGCAGCTGCCGAACAACTTTCAAAAGGTCCAATGAGGCATTCTCCATGAGAATGCCTGTGTGTCCAGTCGAGGATTGAAGCAAAGCGTAGAGCTGCACAACGTTCGGGTGTGGTCCGATCTTGCTCAGGATTGTGTACTCCCGTGTCAAGTCCCAAGACTTCTCCAGGCCATCCGTGTGTGTGTCGACCACTGCGGTGTCCTTGTCCGGCGTACGAACGGCGACCTTCAACGCCAGGCGGAGGTCCTGGAAATGGCATGCGAAGACCTCCCCGTATGTGCCTCGCCCAATGTGTCCTGCGGGTTCCAAGCATTCCTCCATTGTCCAACGGAACGTACCACGACCATCGAAGTCCTCCGGTTCACTGACCATAGGCAAGTCCATCGATTGCGAAACGGGTTTCTCTTGTCGTTTCGCACGGCGATATTCGTCTTTTGATGCCTGGTTTTTCTTGTAGCCGTCCTGAGCTCTCTGGGTGTACTCCTTGCGAAGGTCCGGCCGCTTCTTCCTGCAAGAGGACGGAAGTTGGGTAGTTTAGTCTGAGGCTGTGCTGCCCGCTAGACATCATCAAGTTCAAGATCACCCATGTACAATGATGCCACTGATGTGAAACTAGATCAAAATATCACAACTTCATGTGCTTTATTTTCCTGAACTACTGCTATGCAACTACATCTTCAGAATAACTGAAGTGGACAGTCGCATCTGCTACCCAGAAAGTACTTTCAATGTCTATGTGATAACCTAGGAAGTCCTACTAGTACTAATGCTCTTGCTGTGAACAACATATGGCATCGTCGGTATATGTTGGAGGGATATCTGAAGGCATACTCGGCTACTTTTACAGGCAACAACCACACGGCATATCCAGTCTACGGCTGCGACCAAGGGACCATCTGTGCTGATAATGACATCGTCCTCGCAGGGGTGTTTTTTTGGTCAGCCGTCGGCGCCGTTTGGGGTCCACACCCTGGCTGCTCATGTCGCGCAAGAACAATGTCCATGCCGACGGCATATGCGAGAGGCCGACCTCCTTCAACTTCGGCCGTGCAACCATGGCTATCTCAAAGGGGTTCGCCGAAGGAACTGCGAGTGACTTCCGAGGAAAGAACAACGATTATCTACGTTGGTAGCACAGCCCAAGAATTAGAACAAAGGACAGGATGCGGAGTGGGTGTCGATGATTTCTCTATGGAACATAAAAGGAATTTCCGTTCTGCACGACAAGAACGAGGAATATTGGCAGGACGCGTGCATGGAAAACAGGCTACTCGTTTCTCTTGTCTTACATATGGCAGGCTTCTCTACCATTGAAGGATGCATTCTGATAAACGAAAAGTAAGACCTGCAGGGTATCATGCATGTCGGACTTCTATGTTGGAGGGACACCTGCCCTTGCTTCATGTGTGGTTCATGCTTGCTTTTTTTTCCTCTCTGGATGGCTCTCTACGACATCATACAATTCAGAGCCAAGACAAGAGAAAATGATGTCCAAGCATGGGGCAGGAAACTTCAAGGATTCCACTGTCTGACACAGGACAACCTCCTCTTACTGCGAAACTCGCTGGACATGGGAGTCCAAGGCTGTGTCAAACTGCTTCTTTGTCCTGCGAGATGACAAGATGTACAAGGAGTCCGCAAAAATAGAAGCAACAACCACATGTGTCATGATTCCTGTACAATGTGTCGGAGTTCCGAGTAGCCCTAACGTGCATCTCATTATGGGAAATGTTTCTTCAAACGCTCCTGCAAATTCGCAGGTGGTTCCCGGCCTTCGTGTGCCTCTACCCATGCCCAAGCCTGCTCGACACAAGCACGAGCGGCATTGCCTTGCCCGGCTTGTGTCCAGGAAATACTCCGGGTCATATTTACAGCGGGGGTTCTGTAGGAGAGCTTCCAACGACCGTTCGGCGGGTCTGTATAAATTCCAACGCTGTGTGGAAACATGCTCTTCACGCGTTCGTCCACCGTGGAGTTCAGCTTCCCGTAGACCCGGTCGTACGTCTTGTTAGCTGAAGTAGCCTTCTTCTCGTTGTCCTTCGTTTTCGTCCTGCGTGCTTCTTGTCCTCTTTTCCAGTGGTCCTTGTCGAGGTCCTGCACGGCCTTTTTGTACATCGTGATGACCTTCGGCCGTAGGACCTTAGCTGAAACTGTGGAACGCCGTCTGCTCAGTTCCTTGAGTGCCTCGTCCTGCTCGCCGATCAAAAGTGTGTCCCGAACAACAGCTTCCAAGTCCTTGTCGTCTGCCTCCGGCATCCACTTTTCTGTCTCGTGTCTGCTGAGGATTCGAAGTACGACGTCTTCTTCGACCAACGTGTTGTCTACGTTCAACATGGCTGCAATGGCCAGCTGATGTCCGGCATCTGTCCCTGGGCTTTGTGTGGCAGTCCAACCCATGTGTTTGCACAGCCTCCGTAACAGTGCTTCAGAACAATGTGCAAAACCGTGCTCAGCGTGAAATTCCAGCAAGTTGAGCTTCTTGTCCACTAGAAGAACAACGCCATTGTTCATCGAGCTGCCCTGCGTAGAACGACCTTTTGTGCGAGTATGCTTGCTTTATCTACATCTGCAGGAGTACTGGACCTAGAATCCCACTGGCCATTTCTAGTTGCTGACGAACTGCTTTGAAGTGGTACTAGTAGGAGTAACAGGAGTGGTAGTACATGCAGTACGGAGTAGCAGTCGAAAGTAGTCCTTAAAGTAATAATATTAATACTCATTTTCGTCGTAGTAGTAGTAGTGGTAATAGTGTTTAATAGTACATGCACACTTGTCCTACTGTAAGTAGTGGTACCATTGGTAGTAATAGGAGTCGTAGTAGTACTACTTATACTACTACTACAAGTAGTGATACTAATGCTACTACTACTACTACGACTACTACTAGTACTACTACCACTACCACTACTAGTACTACTACTACTACTACTACTACTACTACTACTACTACTACTACTACTAGTACTACTACTACTACTACTACTACTACTACTACTACTAGTACTACTAGTGCTACTACTTGTACTAGTACAAATACTAGTAGTAGTATTAGTAGTAGTAGTAGTAGTAGTACTACTACTACTACTACTTCTACTATTACTGGTAGTAGTAGTACTAGTACTACTACTACTGCTACAACTACTACTACTACTACTGATACTACTACTACTACTACTACTACTACTACTACTACTACTACTACTACTACTACTAGTACTACTACTACTGGAGTACCAGTAGTAGTTGTAGTACTGGTACTAATACCAGTCCTACTACTCCTACTATTACTAGAACTACTAGTACAAGGCTATTGCTAGTGGTAGGCTACTACTAGTACTAGTAGGAGTACTACTAGTAGCAGTGCTATTGCATAGGCTAAGCTAGGCCAGTGCTAGTACTACGAGCAGTGGTATTACTAGTACTACTGCGACTACTACCAGTGCTAGTGCGGCTAGTGGTAGTGTTAGGCTAGTGCTACTAGTGCTACTACTACTACTACTACTACTACTACTACTACTTCTACTACTAGTACTACTAGTACTAGTACTTCTAGTACTACTGCTGCTTACTTGACTAGTAGTAGTACTACTGGTGCTCTGCATGCTACTACAACTACTAGGAATAGACTAGTTCTCTAGTAGCTGTTACTAGTACTTGTACTATTACGAGTTCTCTTATTATTCACAGTTGCACTGGTAGCATTTCAAGGAGTAGTCGTCATTTTCGTGCTAATAGTACTTAGGTAGGATTATTATTGGTTATCCGAACACCGTGATTAATTAATATCAATCCAGGATGAAAGATTCATATGGGATCACGAAAACTAGTAAATCCCTGTGTCACTAGCATACTTTCGCAAATCATGGCCAGGACACGTAAAGGTGAAGCAGCTTGCAGTTTCAAAACAACCGTGTCCACGGATGTGCTGTGCATCCAATACAAAGAAGAAACGGTCATGTCGAACTCGAAGAAATCAGACCCGGCGTCGTGCACAATCTTGCCAGGCCATGCCAAACAGGCCACACGATAGCTCCGAACGATGAACAAAGGGGATTCACCGGCGAGTACAGCGTGTCCTTCGGGTAGGAGTCCAGAGCACCAGCCTTCTTCGCACAACTGCCAAGTTTTGGCTCGCCATGCCTTCCTCAACAAGGAATATGCTGCGAGAACCTCCTGCTCCTCCGAGTGGTTGTGCGACGCCCAGTCCCTGCGCTTCGTGACGTCTGCCAGGAGCTGTGCCTCCTGGATCTCCGCCGGGGTCATCTCTGCACTCGCAGATTTCGTGGAACGACGTGCACGCTTTGCGAGATTGTTGGCCGTCGTCTTGCTGAAGAGGCTCGTCAAGTTAAAGTCGGCCGGCGTGTGGTGCAGCTGGTTGGTGATTGCCTCCTCGCGTTTGTACATCTTGACCAAGCCCGACGTGCTCACAGATTTCCAACCATCCAAGTGTCCTAAGTCCTTTGCTGTGCCATGTCGTTGTTCAGCTTCGCGTTGAACTTTGTTGCAGTCCTCGATGATCTTCGTGTTCAAGAGCCCAGACCAAATACTTCGGAGAACGTGATCGATTTCCTCTGTAAGGTTGTCAAACCGAGTGCTCTGCAGTTCTGCGAGAAGGTACTGACTGATTTGTCCATGGGAAAAGTGACCTGCGAGTAGTTGCTTGGCCCTGAGGGAACCACTCCTCTGTGTGTCTTTGATGCACTCGTCCATCTCTTTGAAGTAGTCCAAACTGGAACGACGAAACCCTGGGTCACTGTGGACAAGTCCTGCAGTAGCACCGAAACCGCATGTGTGGTAGAGCTGTGCGCCGGCACGCAAACGCAAGATCTGATGTGTCAGCCTCGTCATTTGCAGGGCTAGAGTGTCCTGCCAGACCAACTCCTCTTCGTCCGGCGGGCGTGCACGTGAAAGTGCAAGGTCCAGTCCAAGGCGTGCTAGCTTGTCCAAGTTCGACCAGGTCTGCAGGTGCTCCTTTGCAGTGGTCATCCAGCTCCAATGTGACCACTCCGAATAATACGCCAACGTGGATGCACTGGAACGAAGCTCCTCCAGCATCCTGGAACAGCGAAGCTGCTCGGGTTGTAGCACGAGGAAAACCAATCTGGCGGTCGTCTTGTTGTCCGGCAGGATGATGAACTTCGTCATCGTGTGGAGACTGTTCGCATTGCCCTGCCGTGCTTCGTTCATGGAGTCCTTTGCCTCCTTCACAGCAGAGGACTTGCTTCCACCGTGTGTTAAGGAGGCACGAGCCTGGTTGCTGTCCTGCGTGAAAAGGTCCTTTGCGGAAAGTGTCCACTTGTGTTCCAAACAACACACCGTTAAAACAAGTGCCAGGACGGACCATTCTTTGTCCAACGCAGCATGAGCTGTTGTTAACGAATTGAAACGACTCTTGCTGGCCTTGGTGCCCTTTGTGCGGATGCAGTCCAATTCGGGCAAGGTCTGCAGCCATGCCCTACGCGTCTCCTCCGTGTTATTGTCCAGTGGGAGACCAGCGTCCAGCAATATGTCTTCGAAGAACATGAGCAAAACTGGGTCCGACGGGTCCATGCTGTCCTTCATGTGTTGGGCCGTCTGCTGGATCTTCTTGGACCATGTGCCCTTCTGCCACGGTCCGTATCTGATGTTGTACAACGAGATGCACCACTGTGCAAATTTGAGAAGTCCTGCTCCAGACATGGCCAAGGCCACGTCGTTGTGAGACCGATGTGCTGGGTCCGACACGTGTTCCACCCACAGGTTCTTCTTGTTCCTCAAGAAAGCGACTGCGGCGAGTTGCGTGGACTCCTGGTCTGTACACAAAATGATGATGGGCGCCCGGGAACCGCGTGTACTGTCCTCAGAGCCACGAAACGGCTGTCCATGTGCTCTGAGTTGACATCGTCCGAATGACCATCCCAAGGGTTTCAGTCCATGGTTGATGTCCTGCATCCACTGCAGCGTTGACACCCGTTCTTCTGTGTCCTCATGAGCAGAACCACGAGTTTTGTCACCGTCCAGAAACTTCTGCGATGCTCTGCTCCACATATTGGTCCATTCTTCGGCCGTTAAGCACGACGAGTGGTCCTGCACCTGTCAAAGTCTAAGACATGTGTAAGTTATGCACATATAAAACCGTGCTTCTAATGCCAAGTTTATGATGATTGCTTGGGAATGATTGTTGTTCGCTTGTAACTATGGTTCGTGGGCGTGCCAAAAACAAGGCGGGGATAGGCGTACCCCCTGGGCCGGGACAAGGGCCAAAACCAGCCAAAACTGTCCCAAACGGGTCCCGAGGGCTGCCGGGTCAACTTAGGCAAGGCTGGGCGTACCTTGCCTGGCTTGATTAACAGTAGAAGGCGGCCAATAGCTTTTCCAGGTCACTTCCCAAAAACCGGAGACAGGCAGGGATGCGCGTACCCCAGGGTTTATATAAAGTTAATGAGGAAGGACCACCAGCAAACCCGACCGAGGCGGGGATAGGCGTATGGCGGGGATAGGCGTACCTCTTTTTGTTCTGAAAATGTGCTTGGCGCGGCCTGTTTTTGGCCCCCGAAAGCGTCAGGCTAGGCGTACTTCCCAGGGTGCTGAACCTCACAAACTTAGCTCGTTCTTCCTACACAAAAAAAACCCGCCTGCGGCGGGCAAATCCAGACCTTGCCCTTCGTGTGATTGTACACCATGATGTTAAGCCAATCCTCGCTGCCCACGTGTAGTGCATCTGCAACGACACACAGTATGTCCGTCGAAAAGAACTGCTGCTTGCCGTCCTGCAGGTATGCGTACCTCTCCATGCGTGTGAGCCGGTGTGCGTCCATGGAAGTCTTTTTCTTCGCGTTCTTGGCGTCCTGCGTGGGTGTGTCCTCCACGGTGAACGTGTGCCCTTCCAAAGTGGAAACCAATGTCCGCTGTGTGGCACTGGAGGTAGCAGTCATCGATTCTTTAAAGACATGTGAAGAACGACGATACCCAGCGGCACTCCTGACAAACGAAAAACTCGTATATTTACAATAATCAAGTAATGTTAGGCTATTGCAGGAACCCACCCCCAGAACAGAACAAAACAAAATATGAATGCAAAGACACAATCTCCTCAGTTGCAGAAGCTGCTTCACATTCAACGACGTCCAACACGAGTGTGTACTCTCCGACGTTTCCACGGCTGCTGTCAATGTCTCCAACAAGAAGCACCGCAGCCTGAGGGCAGCTGCCCGTCGTTTTTGCGAGATTGTCCTTTTGGAGCAGTCCAACGCAACATCTTCTAGGACCTGAAGGAATCTAGGTCGTGATGTTGATATCGTACTCTGTAGAACTGGACATTGCTTGTGCAGCTGCTTCACATCCAGACTACCGTGTTGGAACACAAGTGTAGTTGTTTGCTCCTCCCACGTAAACACCGACGTGTGGTCCACCAGGAACAACGAGGCGAAGGCTTGCAACACATCTCCGGCGAGTTTGACCACAGTGTCTTTGTGCTTTCTCCATTTGGCATCCTTACGCATGCCCTGTTGCCAGTGGAAAAGAAGGAGAACGGTCGCGAATGTCGACGTGGAAAACTCCGAAACACGTGTGCTCCCAGATTGCTTCTCGACTTCTTCATCGCCGGGAAGCTGTTTGTCCGTGTCTGTGTCCAGGTCCATGTTTGTCTCCTCCGTGCCAGGGTCCTGCGAGGTCGTCTTTCGTTTCCTGCAGGAGCGGAGCTGAATATCAGAAAATGAACTGGTACCGAAGTGTAACGAGCTCTCCTGCATCAGTTCCTCTTCCGAGCCTGTCCAACGTGGCCAAACAATCTCGAACAGCTTGTTCTTGAACGTGGAAAGACTCCCGGAGAGAAAATTTCGAGAGTGGTGACCGCCGAGGAACTCCACAATCCAACGCATGTGCCAAAAGTAGCGTCCCTTGGTGAACTTCGTCTTTGGCTCATCGTAGAGGTAACACTCGCCCTTCAAAAGTCCTTCTGACCCACAAGGAACCGAAAATGCTAAAGTCCGACGATCACCACTCCGAAATCCGTTTGTTTCATCAGCAGCAGAAGCAGAACCGCGGGAAGGGCCAGTGTCCTTTGTGTCCATGCTTTCTCAGCGGGTCTAACGCGGGCAAGCTCAGAACTCTTGTTGCAATTGAAATATCAAATGATGTGATGTCGTTTCGGCTCTGACTAATACATGATACAAACAATAATTGAGTGCAGTCTGTGCAAGTTCTTTCTACTTTCACCGCTCAAGTGGCAACTGATCAGCCACATTGCCAGTCATTGCCACTGGAACAAACATGCAATGGACAACAAGGGCTGCAACTCCGATTCTCTTCTACATTTAAAGCACAACTCAGCGTGGTCCTGCTTCCGAACAAGAATGGTCGCACACATGAAACAAGGCATCGACACCTGTCTTCAAACGGAGCAGCAACCACGGCGACCTTTTCACGGTTCCCGCAATGATAATGCTGCCGGCTTCACGGCCCCAGAAACTAGATTAAATAGCACGTCGTGTTGTCCAATGCACTCTGAGCATGCCCATGGAGTTCGCTCTGTACGGCGAAATTATGGGAAACTACACATGCTCGTCGAGTGTACCTAAGGCCACAACGACGAAAAAAACCCATACGTCAGGACGACCATGATATGTACAACGAGGAATCATGCACCCGTCGCTGCAACCGATGACCCGCCGAGACCGACGTCCATGGCCATTGTGTCTGTGTCCGCTGGAAGATCATAGTTCCATTTCTCCTTGAAGTCCGGCAACATCGGGAAGAAGCTGGCGCAGTCGAAATCGAACATGGAGTGAACTTGTCCATCGCACACGGTACAATCGGGTGAATGTGCATCACTCAGCTTCCAGTCCTGGCCGTCGGGTAATTTCGGAAGTTCATGTTCAAGTTCTTGGCCGGGTTTCCAGTCCTTCGAGAGATTCTCGTCCTCGTCCACCGAAAAAACATGACAAACCAGCGTGTTTCCATTGAGCGACCACATTTTCAGCCGGTTCGTGGTGTGGTCCAGCGGGGCCTCCGCGTTGAGGGCACCAGCCCAGTTGCGATGCACGGCGTGTTCCAGCCGAGCTTTCGCCAGCTTGACCAGCGTGCTCTGATAGCGGAGGTCCGAACGAGTTGGCAAGGGTGCAGACTCAGCGACCCAGAAGTGTCCGGCGAATAAAGTCCGAACAACGTCCTGCTCCTTCGAGGCCCGCTCGGAGAGCTCCACCCCTGATGTCCTGAGCATCAGGAGACACATCTCCAGCGGAAGCTGTCCCCACTTGCTACACTTGCCTTGGGCCTTCCACTTCAGCCCGCCGACTTCGTCCTTCGCGGCCACCTCTTTCAGGAGTCCGTTGAGTGAGCCTGAACGAATGAGACCGGCGAGTGGGCTGATCCACGAAGGGTTGTCCCGCAAGGTGTCCATGACGTACCGCATGTCCACATCGAGAATGGTGCTCTTCGAGTTTTGCACGGCGTTGGCGAACGTCTGCTCGTTCTTTTTCCGCGTTTTCTCGTCCTTCTGCTTCTGCTTCAGCAGCTGCTTGGCCGTGGGCTTACGTGGACCGGTTTGACGAGGCATGCCAAGGACCGTCGAGAAAAGTACGACGGGTGGGCCGAAGCGGGCGAGAGTGCTCGAAGAATCAAGATGAAGACAGGCTGCGGAGAAACATGTAGCACGCCATGTCGTAGAACGGATGCTGGCAGTTGTACTTCTGCACTCGGGAAGAAGGCAGACAAAAACAAACGACACATCACGGCTTCCACTGTCTGCTTCTGCTGCTGGCCTAATTGTAGGCGAGGAAGAGTAATCGGCGCAGCAAACCTCGGCGGGACAAATGTTTGATTCCTGCCCATTGCAACGAGTCAGTAAACATTTTCGCAGGAAGTGCATGTGACGACCTTTGTTTCCCACGAGTTCAGACCTGTCTGATTTGGGAATATAAGAGAGTACTTTTCCCACGACACTGAAGAAAACATCAGATGTACAACAACCACACGGCAGTTCCACTGACTGCAGCACATCGGGTAATCCAGATTCATGCCGTGATATCTGCCAATTTTCCGAAAACGTGCCTCGGAGATTGCTAGTAGCAGTCGTCCTAGTTCCTGGTATGACTAGTAGTCGTAGTTTTTCAGTAGTAGTGCTAGTAGTACTAGTACTACTAGTGGTAGTAATACTAGTAGTACTAGTAGTAGTAGTAGTAGTAGCAGCAGTACTTGTAATCGTCCGAGTTACTAGTTGTAGTACTAGTACCAGTACTAGTAGTAGTACTAGTAGTAACAGTAGTAGTGGTAGTAGTAGTAGTAGTAGTACGATTAGCAGCAGTAGTCGCACTAGTAGTAGTACTAGTTATAGTAGTAGTAGTAGTAGTAATAGTAGTAGTAGTAGTAGTCGTCGTCGTCGTAGTAGAAATAATATCAGTAATCCTAGTTAGTAGTACTAGTACTGGTAGTGGTAGTAGTAGTAGTAGCAGTAGTAGTAGTAGTACTAGTA